GATTTTGGAAGTTGGCCGGTGCCTAGCGCACCTTAAGAGCCACAACTTTGATAAAACTTCTGTAGCAGAATGAACTGAACTTAGTTAAGCTCAGAACTATTTAACTACTAGCCTGTAGAAAAAGGACACCATATGCGAAGGAAAACTCGGATCGATACACAGAGGAGAGCATTTCTGTAAAATGCTCTTCAGACATCTAAGTTTTTTAATCTGAAACAAGACAGCGTATAGTGTTATCTCTCTATAGGAGTTCCGAAGTTAAAAACTCCAATCTATTTTTTAAGTTGTTAGTTCAGTAAACAACCCAAGCAAATGTGACAATTTTTAGGTTTCGAACAAAGATTAGTTCTTCGAGGAAAGGAAATTTTTAATCCTTTTTCAAAGGTGATTAGTCAGTCAATTCAAGAGACTTTTAAACAAATGTGTAACTTGGAAAAGAAGTTTTTTCTGAGCTTAAATTTTTGGAAATTTCTTGCAAAGCTTTTGAAAAAAAATATTGTGGTTTAACATGCCAAAATAAACACAATAAAAAAAATAGGAATACTTTATACTAATCATACAGTAATACAAACCCTTGTATTCTCATAGAAACCCCAGTAGTTTTATCAATTTAACCCTTTAACCCCAAGGAGTGACTAGCATCTAATTTCTCCTCACAGTATCACCGCACTACTGAATCAAACATCGAGGTCATAAGAATAATGAAAATGATCAACAAGCACAAGAGCTCTTGATTATTAAGCAAAATCTCCTTGTCAGCACCTGAGGGAAATGTATAGAAAACAGTATGGAGAATATACGTACTGATCTTAGTGTGTAAAGTGTCAATCGATACCCCTATGTGTAGATACTGTTGTATCCTCACACAGACTCTTGTATGCTTATAGATACTTTTGTATCCTCATTATCCTTCACTTTCCCTCTGCTGCTACTATTTCGCTCCGTTTAATCAACTGAACGTCACGAAAAGGTTACTTTATTATCAAAGGGCAATTTAGGTAGGGGATTCCATTTTGTTGACTAAAAAAAACTCAACAGATTTTTCGTCCGCTACTATTGTGCCATATCTGTGACTTACAAGACAATAAATGTTCAATGAAAACTGAAAGAATACCAAATAAATTTGTATACTATAAAAATTTGCATGCGAGAAAAATAGTTCCTAAGACCGTTGAAATGTATTGAAATACACAAATATATACATAAATATACAGTTTAGCAAGATAACTTTTCTAGTATTTCAGAACACCGAAGCAAATATATTACCGAGCGAACTTTTGATAAAAATGCAAACAATTATTAACGAGAAGATGTGACATTCAAGTAACACCACTGAATAATTCTGAAGATTAATAACACAATTATTCATCAGATGTAGGGGATCGCTGAAATGGTTCAAACTGGCTTATAAAATGTGACTTATTGAATACCTTCGATCCAATAGGTGTGGATTGTTTAAACTAGTTGCAATTGTCATCAGAATTTGTCCCACTTTCAGCTCAAAACAGTGTTGCAATGCAGTGTGAACGCGGCAACATGAAAACCTGACTCATTTTCTGTCAACAAACTGCACTCTAACAGGTCTGTCAGGAATGGTGACCCCTCTCATGAACGGCAAGTCATGTCAAGCTACTGTACGATTCTGGCCATCTGCAGATGAAGCTCTAACTCGGCAATACGTCGACCGAGGCACATACGTGTTCCGAATCCAAACGGAAGAGAAGCGAAAGCTTCTGCTGATTCGATCAAAGCGGTATCTTTGTTTCGCAACCATCTCTCCGGTTTAAACGCTTCGGCATCTTCAAAAATACCCTCATCTCACCCCATTTGGTGAACAAGGAACTCAACTTGAGCAGTGCCCCCAGGGATATGGTAGTACAATAATATTATGTCTTCTTTCGGTCTTCGCGGGATAGCGGAGAGAACAGGGTATAGGCGGAGGGTCTCTCGTAACCAGGCCTTCAAATATGGTATACGAGCCAGCGTTTCCGGCGTTGCAAAGGTAGAATTTCCCACCATTACTGAGAGCACTTCTCGTCGAAGAATCTTCGTTTCTCAGGATTTTTGGCCAACATGTAAAGAACCCATTGCATCGTGTTGGACGTAGTGTCAACTCCGGCAAACAGAACATCGATTACACTCGCCAACAGGTCATCCTTCGTCAGCTTTCCGCTGGCCAGGAGGAACTTGAAGAAGCCAGGTTGGTCACGCTCTGTTTCCTTTGATGGCTTGCATGACTTCTTCTCCAGTTCGTTGATTCTTCTCCCGATAAATAGTTCGGTGTAGTCGTACATCGTGTCAAAATTATCAATCAATTTCTGGGTCTCGTAGATCTTGTAAAACCAAGGTGGCAAAAAACCGACCTCCACCGCATTCGCCAGAAAATCTCCGACGGCATAACTCTTATTGCGCAAGATGATTATCTCACAGCTGGAGCTTGGGCTACCTGTGGTCCAACCTGTGTTGAGCGGCACCGTAAAAAAAACTTAAGCGGTCGCCCTTAGTTAAGCGGCCAGATATCAGAGTCTCGAGAATTTTTCTCCTCAATTACGACAATTATGAACTCTATTAAGCGGTCGTGGTCACCCTTTGCTAAGTCCCAACAGCCAGTTTGCATTGTCCTCCACCTGTTTTTGAAGGTCACTTAGAGCGGATCCACTCAAATAAAGCTAAGGACAAGCTTTCAAGCAATCTTTAACCCATGTTTATCTCCCAACCTCAAATGCAAACGGTACGTATTTTTGAGCGAGTTTTTTTTAAATTAAGTGTTCGACTTTGGCGCAAGATGCCGGTTCATGTCGTTTTTTTGCCATACTCCCCTTACTGTGAAACCTTTATTAAGCGGTCAACTTGTATTAAGCGGCCACCCCGTCATTCCCCGTGGGTGACCGCTGAACACAGGTTCGACTGTAGATAGTTTTTTTTCTCATGTATCTTCTAGCATTGGAAGTTATTTTTCTTTCCATCCGATATCTTATCGGACCCCAATCTAAAAACAAATCATTTCTGTCATTTAGCCTCCGAAGCTTGAGAGAAGAATCATTGCTTGCTATTTGTCTTTTTCTCTGAAGGGTGCTAGAATTATCTTATGCCAAATAAGCAGAATAAGAAAAAGCTTTTACATTTTATTCACATCCGACTTCATGCATCAGAAGAGGAGAAATTGACTTCTACAGTGTAAATAAAATTAATGTCGGTCAAATCTCTTTTCCTTCTTTCGGACGTGAATTGGCAGACCTATGGAACACTTAATGGTTCTTGTCAACGGCTTTTGAAAACTGCGCTTAAATTGTCATCAGACTGATGATAGTAATGGAAGATTCCTACTTTCGGCTTATTTAAAACACATCTTAATACTTCCAGGCTTCTCCGCTCTAAAAACACATCTTACTATTTCCAGGCTTCTCCGCTCTAAATCATCTGAACGAACAATTGTTGAGAAATAACTTGATTATCCTTAATTCGCGCGGTGGAAGAAGACATCGAAAGCTAACTTTCCTAATAACTACTAAGTACCTATAAAAAAAGGCTAGGATACAGTTATTGGGTGAATAAAGCCCCACCCCCCTCAAAATTTTCCTTTAGTTTCAAAGATGCATCACTTTCTCTCGAGTACTAAGGAACGAGGTAAAGTATTTTTCGTCCAGTCAACGTTACAAAAGACCATCTTAAATATCATGAAGAGTTACGAAGCACTCTTCATCATTTATGAAGATAAACGATTGACGTAATAAAGCTCGTTAAGAAGTGCAATTTTTCCCTTGATCCTACATATTCAACATATTCTGATTGTTTGATTGTCCCTGAATAAAAGTGTCACAGTAAGTAGTTTGACGGTATTTAGGAGTGTTCCGAAAGAACGCTCCAAAAACTTTTAGGCTCTTTGAGAGTTCTTTCTTCTGAATCATTTAAAAATGATATAGAAAACAAAGACAAATTTAGTACTTTTGAATCTCTTCTGTTTAAATTTCTTTTTTTCGACGAAAAATCCTTTTCTTTGTATTAAACCGTAGCAGAAGGCCAGTGCCAAGAACAATTAATACGATTGACAATTTGAATTCACTCAGCCTTAAGCCGGGATTTTCAAACGCGAAGTAGCAACAAGGCATTCGTAAATAAGTCATCCTTCAACTCAACTTCAAGACCCCGTCAGAGATTTTTTACTCGGGCTTTCCGAAGGAAACGCCCGAGGTATAAATTCGGCTTCGTTTTTTTTTTTTTTTTGCGTTCAGTCACAAAACGCAGTTCCACTACAGCGCATGCGTGAAGTGTTAGCGCATGCCTAGAATAAACCTTAGAGAGCTGTTTAAAGCAATGGCTGCCTTTGTGGACAATTCCTCTCTTGATGCACGCGAAAGAAATTCGATGGCTATTACGCCCAATGTACATACAAAGTCACACCCCGTTCGCAGTAGACCCACACTAAAACTTGTGGAGCGTTTTTGGAACGGGTCGGTCCGCGAACTTTACGAGAGATCAATTTACGAGCGATCCTTTACGAGTGAACCTTTTATTGAGAATATCAAGCGAAACCTGCTATATCAAAGGAGTTATCTCATATTATGTTTACATGTAAACAGAACCGTGTATTTAGACGTGATCGAGAACCCAGTAGAATACCAGAAGCTATTCTGAAACGTCTCAGAAGAAAGGGCAGAAAACTGAAGGAATTTGTTTATGAGTGTATTCGTCTAAGCATACCGAAGTCCTCTTGGCTACGTCGTTATGTGAAGGTTAGAAGAGTTACAAAGAATGATTGTAAGCTTAATACGAAGAGGGTAAGATTAAATAAAGTTACAAAACATGATAAGAAGTATTTGTTGAATTGTCCTGTAAGGGTATATCAAAGGATAATTAATTTGAAGTATAGAGCAAGAAGGTACTTCTCAACGTTTTCTTGTAATAGACCCATGTGTCTTTAGAAGAGTCAGACACACGCATCAAACTATTCTAAATTTCAACTGAATTCAGATATAGAGAAAAACCCTGGTCCTATTCCAATGTACATTGACCCTAGCAAAACAATAATGGCACCATATAGCCAAGCTAATGAATTGGTATTTGGACAGAATTCAGGACATCAGTGTGTTACAATGAGTTTATGCTCTTTGATTTACAATAACAAACAGGGAATCAATTCTGCTCATGATCTTGTGTCAATAATGAATACTGGAAATCAGTTGTATTCAAGTTTGTCTCGGTTAACCAGGCAATCATTTTTAATGCAGACAGAATTACCCACACTTTTAAATGTGTTCGAGACTGACTATGAACTTCAATACAGTGAGAGATACACTGGTACTATTCATCAAGAAGCTACAATAGAAGGATATCAGTACTGTACCTCCTTAGATAGAGCCTTTCAATCACTTATATCTGAAAATTTCAACAATTTTGTCTTGACAATAGGATGTACTGCAGTTGCTATCTATTGTCAAGGTAATGTGGGCTTGAATATTCGATTCTTGTGCAAGGGATATTTATGGTAGAAGCCATCCTCAAGGTACATGTGTGCTGCTTGAAGTATCATCACTGAATAGCTTAGTACATTATTTTCAGAGTATAAATAACAATGATATATTTGAATTGAAAGGGCTTAATTTTAGTAAAGTTCAAAATAGTACCCTTTTTCAGAGTCATGCCTGTGAAACCAGAAAGTTCAATTTGAGTTGTGCTGTGGCTGGTTATTCACTCTGCTACTCTGTAATAAAATCATTTAGTTGTTGGAATTCAAACCTTATATAATGTTATTCAGTATGGCAAAAGATTATATGAAAATTCATCTTGAACAAGTATTTACCGTTAGATGATTTGCCAAAAACTGTTGATGGTAGTGGAACTGAAGTAAGTTTAGATCTTAAAAGTGATTACAGTGAAGGAATATTGTCTGATTCAGTTGACAGCAAATCACTTCTTGAAAATCTTATAAGAAATAATAGTGAATGCACAGGGTTTTTGATGTGGTTTTCAGTTTTCTGTATGACATGTATTTTTAAACCCACAAAAAGGTCAAAATATATCTATTCCCTCTTGCTATTTAATGAGAGTCAACTGCCTCTAATTGAATATACTAAAACTAAATAGCACTGTTTCTCTTGTTGCGGCCATCAACAGCATTCAAAAATTGCATAAAGCTGGAGGATATTTCAAAATTCAGTTTATAAGATGTTCAGCTAAAGCTGTAAGACAAAATTAATTTAATTTTTGAAAATCGCCACAAAAATTGCTAATTTAAACGCACCCTAAGTAAGCCTGAGTTCACGCAGTTATGCATCTAGTTAAAATTGACATTTGTTGTTTAGTAATGAAATTAATGAAAATGTCCAGCGTTCTCACCATGCTGAAAAAACCTAATGGCTAATTTACATTCTGCTAAATTAATAGAGGGAATACATTTTTCCGTTTTTTTTTTTTTTTAATATTAACTGACAACAGGTGGAACACTCTTCAAACGTCACTTCGTGTAAATTTATATGAACTGCTGAAATTACAAATGTTTTGGTTAAGCATTTGGGAATTGTTTCGGCCTGTTAGATAATCTCGAGTCTTGCTAGCCTTGTTTGATAATGTGATGCGGGACCACACAATATATGTAGTTTTGCTTTCCAAGTGATTTTACCTGGACCATCATGATGGGGCTTTGTTCTCGGACAATAATTGCCACTGGAGGTCCGCAAGCAGACAATCCCAAACACAGTATGTTTAGGATTATCTATTCACCTTGCTTAGAGTGCTCCACTGGAGATCTTGTTTAGGTTTTTAGTTATTGAAGTCAATTGTTTCTCGAGTATTTTGTTGTTCTCTGATTTCGAAAGTCTGTTGAAATCGTTGGGGTTGGTGTTCTAAAAATACGTTTAATCTGGCAAGGTCACTTGTCTGGTAAGCCCACACATGCCTACCAATAGGATTTTAAAGAGTGTACTAAGGCCCAGGCTGAAAGAGTCATTAAGAAAAGAGTGACAGTCGCCCGTTAAAAAAATCAGTTCTTGATCAAACTTTTGGTGCCTTCTGTCTGTTTGTGGTGTTCGAGTTAGTTCACCCCAACAGTCCAACACAATTTTTATTTGCAATTGATCCTGGACAGGCCAATTTTTTTCTCCAAAAATTATTGCCATTGATGTTGTTGGTGATTGTTGATAGCAAGTGTTGTAAATTGGTAATAGCAAAAAGTTTGTGGCTTGTGTCCCACATATTTAGTTTGTTTTGTAAATTGGTGATTGCCTAAGACTCATCTATCATTTAGTTGGCTTATGTTGTATGACTGACTTCTTGTGTATCTTCATTTTCCTGTTTTTGGTCTTTGCAAATCCCACACTCCCACATTCTAACACTGAGACACAGAGACTCTCCAGTGACCAAGGCCATAATTGCTACCTTCATGTGTACGCATGTTGCCTACATTTTCTTACTGGATACAAAGTCATCTTTGAGTCCCTAAACTACAACAAACTTTGGTCTTAATGAAGTTATTTACATTTAGAATGCTAGTTCTCAGATTATACAAGTTATATTTAAAATGTATAGCTGCTTTTCAAGTTTAAGTTAATTTTCTAAAAATGACACATAATCTGTCAATAGTGCAAGTTCCTGTTCACTTGTGAGTGGAATCTCTTTCTGTGGAAGCTCTACAAAGAAAATAAGAAAAAGGAGTCAAAGAATGAAAAATGCTTTTAATTCTCCTATTCGATTTTTTGCCTCAAAAGGTGCACTGACATATCACAATTGATTGTAGTTTTGAAATTTGACAAGTGTTTTTGAACCTCTCACAGGATTCAAAGATTCATTGAGTGCTCCAAACTCAAGATTTTTCAAAGTGACTATCCAGCAACCATGAATCTGAACATGATTGCCATGGTTGTCGAAGGTTCATGCAACAACTCAAAACTTAACACTTACACACTAAGGAGAAAGAGGCAAAGACTGAAGACTAATTAGTTAAATGTACAAACTTGACTGCAGAACACAGGTCACCTAATTGGTGACTTTCACTAATGATCTTGTCCCCCAAACTATTTTTTTTAATATGCCATGGCAACCAAAATGGTCCTAACTCAGAGGAATGTCATTTCACAACTAAATTAAACATTGCTCTGTTATAAGAGTGTAAAGAATGACAAAAAAAAATGTAAGGGAATTATAAAATTTATAAATATGTTTAAGTCTGAGTTTGTATCTCTACCTGTCTTCTTGGGAGTAATCATTCCTGTGGCTGGATCACTAATCCATCCACTGGTAACAGCTGCTAATTATTGTCATCAGACAAAAAAAAGAATGATATAACTCAACTGTTATAATCATTGTTATTATAACTATTATTATCAAAACCATTATCCAACAATTATCAATTATTGATAAATTCCCTTCATATGGATTTCTGCATTAAAATTGATTAATCATTTGTTTCAACGAAGAACATATACTATTCAAGGTTTTTGCTTTCTGCAGGCATTGATATGAAGCTAGAAAGCTTCAGCTTTTCTACACCATCTTGGACTGACTGACACACATGGCCTTGATCTCATGTGGGTATCTAGACTTTCTACAGTTTGGATCACATGGGAAGATAAAGTGTATGTAGTTGAATTGGAAGCAGTTGATCAAACAAAATGAGTTACTCCAAATCAGAGCTGTGAGCCACTATATGATGTTCAGAAGTTTAATTATACAATTGGTTTTATTACACAGAAACAAAATTCCATTCCTGATTTATATTGAACACACTTTTTCAATCCATGATTAATACTAGTTAATTTACTAATGATGTTCCATTCATCAATTTTTCTCAGTTTTTGTCTGCATGTTTGTTTGTAAACAAACTTTTTTCTTTTAAAGCAACTGATCATAATGCAAAATAATACAATTTTATTTAGACCATGCACAATTTTCTTTCACTTACTGTTTCCTAAAGATCACTGTTACCATCATTTTTTATCTAAACATTTCAAATGATGACTGAATAACACTGTAAATATATGCAGTGAAACTGCAACACCAACCACTCAAAGCAGCTTCCCTTGTTATCCCCATTAGTTTGGCCAAGTCTTCTGCTCTGATAGAGGTGTATCGTTGGATACTACTAAATCAAATGTCCTTTTCTGAAGTTTTTCTGAAAAAAACATACAAGAGGTCATGAACTAGACACCATCACCAAACAAGGAGGGTAATCTGATTGCCTTAACCCCATACATGGAAATCCCAAAAGTTTTTCACATGTAACTTTTCTCCTATAATCCACACTTTATCCAGAAAACAGGTAATAAGAATACCAAAAGTTATAAGATAGAAGTTTTAAACTTGATCTACCACCAAATTCTTGTAACTAATCTACAAAGAAATATGTGGTAGCAAGAGGGGACAATTAACAGTCCAATCTTGGGAGAAAAAGGGTTAGGACTTGTTGGAAGTAATCGGTTAATTACATTATCCGTATAGGTATATGAGTGAACTTCAAGGTAAAAAGGTGTAACAACAATCAGCAGTCTAAACCATGTTAAGCTCTTCTCATTTTTTCAGTCAAAAACTCACTTTTACACAAGTCATATGAAAGTCAGTCTCTCCTTGCAAGTAAACAAGCTAAAACTAGTAAATTAGCAAAGTTTCTCTAGATCCCATAGCAAGCTCATGAAAACATTTTTTTAAGCTCTTGTACATAATCACATTCAATGGAAGCCAAATTAATGGCTGGTACCAGTCTTTACTTTGAGAAATCAAAAAATTTTTTGCTTCATATTTTCTGGAATTTCGAGCCATTTATTTCAATGAAACTTGAAAACTGACCACACCAGACATGATTTATTGCTGCAGGCAAGTTTTGTTTAGTTTCAATGAAAAATCAGTCTTTCATGGAGTCAATAAAGAGTTCCAATGGAATTACTTTCTTTTCTTCTCCCTCTGTTGTTTACAAACAAAATGCACACAACATATCATATAACTTGTCACAAGGAGAAAATCACAAAAATTTTAGAGTTTGCTGCTGGTAGGCATTTAAATCTCACCTGTTAATGCTGCAATGATTGGCTGGATAGAAGGTGACCATTCTTCTTTCAGAGCATTGTAAACTGCTACAAAATCTCTTTTCCAGATATGACATCCTACATTCCAGAGTTTTGCAAGCTCTGGAGTTGACTTAAGGTGATAAATAAATAAATAAATAAATAACATTAAAAAAATGTATTAACCAAAGAAGAAAAAATATACAAAACACTTATGTGGTGGACATTGTGTGGTAGATGATATCTCGGTTTGCTACTAAATTCTCATAACTAATCTACAAGGAAATGTGAAACAGCTAGAGGGGAGATTAACAATTAGATCTTAGGGGGGTTAATGGGTGATACATATAATGCTCAAAGAGCCCCTCTCCCCCAAGGAGTAGTCATGGAATATCATGGAAGCAAAATAGAAACTATTAGAAGGGGTTGGGGGTGGGGTGAAGTGGCATGTAACTAGCATCCCTTTAGCAAAAATACCAATATTATAAGATAATCACATTATACTATGATTATATTATATTGTATTATATTATATGATAAACTAAATTATACAGGTATTTTAATTGGTTCTTATTGATGGATTATTGGAGTACATTCACAAAAATTCAGGTATAAATGGCATCACCATTACCACCATTTTTCTTCATCTTACAAAACACACAGATTCCATATTCTCCTGCAACTATTCAGTAACAGATCACAGACTGCATCAAAATGTGGTAAGAGTTAATATCATTAGCACACTTATCCACTGCTAATACGCCACATTTACATTTTTAACATATTTTACAGTCATCTGTGATCTATTACTGATTGTAATTTATGATAAGCTAAATTATTCTCTTATTTTGATTGAATCTTACCTATTGATGTTAATACAAATTGTTTGTAAATCCTTCAAGAAGAAAATCTACATTCATGTTGATTATCTGTCAAGATTTACTGTAATTACAAGAAAAAAGTTGACATAACTCACCAGTTTAATTTCATCTGGTGTTCTTTTCCATAAAAACTTGGCATTGCAACTGAAAAACAGCAAAAACAAAAATAGCTTCAACATGATAGAAACAGAAGCTTTCTTGTCAGCTTGTTGTGTTTATTTAACATGGAGGGAATACATCAGCTATAAGCTGAGAGTCATAGGGGTAACATCAACCAATACTGAGTGGTATGCTTCTTAATTTCACACCTGTACAAATACAAGCTTGCTTTGTTTGTGTAATTTAACATTTGTAGACTATTGTGTGAGCTGCTCCTTGCCTTACAAATTGCTAGTAACAAAATGGCCATGTTACATGTAGGTACTAGAGAGATTGATTTAGGATGGAGTTCAGTTGAGCAATTGCTCAGCAGGTTGGTACCCATTTTCAGAAACAAATTTCAGGACTTTTCTAAGACTCAAATTGATTTTTCCAGGACGTCAAGTATCACCTTAAACCCTTCCCTTTTATTCCTAACATTTGTACCTCAACTCTCCTAACAGTGCTGGGGAACCTTGTTTGGGTGGGAAAGGGAATTTGAACCATAAATGTTAAGTCTTTCCAATGGAACAAGGTAAAGAGTTCCCTTTTGCCAGAAAAAGCTCAAAAGAAAAGTTCTTCAAGGTCTACATGTAGGTTTCAGGTTTTACCGAAAAAATGACTATCAAACCCAGCACTTGGGTAGGAAATCTGCACACAGTTTTGGCCCGAGGAAGTGGGAATTCGAACAAATCTGAATTTCACATGCCTGAGGGGCTGCCTGAGGAGGGGATGTTGAAGATTCAAATTGATCGATCGTGACGCATCATGGCTTGCCTTAGTCCTAAACATTGCAGGCTCATTGTCAAATGTTAGGTTTACAGAAAATTAAAACTTACATATCATTTTGAAACAGATAAACCGCTAACAGCTGTGTATAAACTTCCCCTGAAGCAGAACCCTAGGGATAAATAACAATATGTTAGCACAAAATCGGCAAAAAGTTTAAATCATTATCTGCTACTTCACAAGTTTGGTAGATAGGACGAGCGCAAAATGCTAGTAACTGTGGTCCAAAACTCACAAAAAATGGGAATATCAAAAGAATTTGAGGAAATTTTACAATTTTGAAAAAAATATATTTCCACTATACTTACGTCGAGTTCCATTTGTTCGCATTTTATGCAAAGCTCTTCAAAATCCGGTTTTTCTGCAATGTCCGCCATCTTTCATTTCTTATTTCTGTGTCAGGTTCAATCGCTGGCTCAATATTTTCCGAAGAAACCTCGAACAACGAAGATTCTCCGAAGACTTTCGTCAGAGTTACAGCAGCTGCAAAGGAAGTCATCCCCAAGCCATGCAGCGCTCCGTCGGTCAATTAAGTGGAATCGCGTCTGTATTTTTGCGTGGATTTCGTTCTTCTGCGTTTGCAGCAATGCCGATCAAGGTAAAAGTATTTTTTCTTTCCCACAGTTTGTAGTAGGTTTAATGTCTATCGCTAGATCTACCTCCTGGTACTGGATAATGTGCTTGTATTTCAAAGCTTCGCTATTTCACTAAAACCAGCACGTTAACTGCTGGGAAATGACAGGCAATTACGTCTCTTGTCACTTTCGGAGTATTTTTCCTGGGCTGTCCTTGTCAATTAAAATTGCAATTAAAATTTAGCGACCGAGCTGCTCTTTGCTTGAGATAAGCAAAGAGTTATGTTTGCGTAAAGCATGAGCGCGCCATATCAACTTTCCTTATTACCAACTCGTGGTTCGTGTATGACTAAGCATTTTTAAATGATAATTTTAAAATATCCTCAATGTGAACAACTGCAGCTTATTAATAAATTATGCAATTCCCAGGAGAAAAATCATCTTGAGTTTGGACTTTGAATATAGGAGTTTATGTCTACAGACTTGATGAAATTTTCACATTAAAACATCGCATGAATAAGATTAAGGCTCTTCAAGTTAAGCCCAACAACGTGTGCATTCAAGTTCATCTGATGAATATTCCCATGTGTGTTGCATTTATATCAGTTTGTTTGTATTAAAGGAATATCAGAGAAGAACAAATAAACAAACAAAAAATAAAACAAAACAGAACAAAAATTTACATGTTAGCCTTGCACGTTCAAATTACATAGTCATCAAATGCAGGGTGGGGGGGGGGGGGGGTACATAATGATGATTGCATGGAGGAAACACAAGCTGTATTTTGATGAGCAAGGAGGCTCTAGGAAATCTGTTTAAATGTTCTTGGTAATCATCTCACAACATCTAACCCTCATGTTTAAGTGTCAACCTCTTGATATCTAAACACTGGAAATATTTCAGAGAGAAATACCCCCCCCCTCTCTCTCAGAAAATATTGTTCCCATTATAAACTTATTATCCTAATCTCTCCCTAAGATAAACAGCATTGTTGACAAAAATTGATGCACCTAATTAAAAAAAAAAATTAAAATGCATCCATCTTTGCCAAGGTAACCTCAAATTTACTAGATTTCCCCTCTTCAGAGAAAAAAATTAATATATCTAAATTGACCTCTATCGGGGAGACTTAGAAAACTGTAGGGGAGACTTAGAAAACTGTAGGGGAGACTTAGAAAACTGTAGTAGAGACTGTAAGATTTACTTGTTTCAGGAAACTTTGGAGAGAAGGGCATGTGCAGTGCAAGCATATTCTTAACCCTCTATACCTTAATATCAATATTTATATTCTCTACACTGTTCTCTATACATTTCCTACGGGACTGACAAGGAGAATATGGTATTTAATGGTAATAGGACCCAGTGGAGTCTAAATTTGTCAATGGCAAGTATGATTACATACCAAATTGGATGACGTGAAGTCCTGTTACCAGTTAATCATAACTATTACAATGTCTGAAAAAGAAATATTTACTTGAGTAAGGGCTTCCAATATCAATTATCAATTTTCAGCAGTAAAAAAAATCTTCTATTTTGGAAATTTTTCAGTTTTAAAAGGCAAGTGGTTGTTGCTATGGTTAATGTAATCAATTCTGGGATTGGTGGATTCAGCTCATTGAATGTAGTAGAATTGGCTGCTTTAACTCTCTGGTTGCAGTTGTCTGATTACAGCCAACTATCTTATTACACTATGCAATTACAACTTCACAGAACAGTTAATGAAAAAAACAGAGCAGGTGATGCACCAATCACATTTGAGGAAATTGGAATGGCTTATGATTGAACTTAGAATGCTACCATGCTGTCATGTGATATTGGGACTTACTTTTATTTGGTGTACCTACACTGCAGATTGGTGACAAGCTTCCTTCTGTTCAAGTCATGGAGGGAACTCCTAAAGACAAAGTCAATGTGGCCACTTTGTTCTCAGGAAAAAAAGGGGTGCTATTTGCTGTACCAGGTGCCTTTACTCCAGGTTGCTCTAAGGTTTGTGTGGAATGTTATGTGCAGTGATTTGTGACAGAAAAATGAGGTGAAAATATCATACTGGTGTTAAAATGTGGGCAGGATGTTGACAGAAAGGTGCTGACAGTGAGAAATTGATTAACAATCATGAACCTCTTTACTTGGTGATCATTTTCCTTATTCCTGTGACCCCAATGGTTGATTCAGGGGTGATGTGGAAAGGAGGAATTTTAAGTTAGTCATTCTTGCTGGTTAAAAGTGACAAATCTTACTGATAGTTATTGAAAGGTTGTGCCTAAATAAGAAAATATTTATTATAGTAATGGACTTTTTTTTTTTTAAATGCTCAGACTCATCTTCCAGGATATGTTGAAGATTTTGAAAAATTTAAGGTAAGGTGGAAAGTATGATATGGTAGCCATGATGATTGCATTTAAAACAGCTAATATTTTGTTTCTAGTCCAACTTTGCTTAAATTGTGGGTCTATGAATCTAAGTAATTTTGTAATAGTTGATGCAACTAAAACTTGAAAATTGAGATGAGATATACATTTTAACGTCCATCGTTTACCAAGAATGTAGTCTGAGTCTGGTATTGAGATTGAATCCCTAACAAATGTTAGCAAAAAATTTTTCTTTTGATTAGTTTCTCTGTAAACTGAAATAGACACACATACTTTGAAAAAAGAAAAATGGGTCCTGATGAAAATGTGGATTTCCAATTTCCTACAAACTTGCCACAAGCCACTTCAATTTGCCACCTGCACAATGTTGCTCTCTGGAACAGTGTATAATTATTTTAGGTTATGAAGTAAATTATTAAATAAATATTGGTGTACCTAAACAAATAAACTCTTGGTGGTAGATGGGATATTTTTTGACATGTAATTTTTTTTTTTTTGATATCCCTTGTTGCAGTAATGTGAAATTGACAAACCAATTTTTTGTACATAGAGCCATTGCATATAATGTTTTACCACACAACATGAAGTTTAAGTCAAACAAAGAAATGATCCTCACAGACAAACTACAATGTTAGCTATTTCAGAAAAGAAGTCTGAAAAAATTCAGGCTTCAATGGGATTTGAACCCATGCCTTCTAGAGACTAGACACTATTACCAGCTCAGATACAGAGACACAGGTTAGGAACCAAGGAAATTTTAAAGGGTTCTTCTTTCTTGTAAAGGAATTTTTATGTGATGTTTCTGAGTCTAAGAAGTCTATTATTTTCTAGGAAAAAGGAGTGGATATTGTTGCCTGTATCTCAGTTAATGATCCGTTTGTAATGGCAGCTTGGGGAGAGGCACACAAATGTGAAGGCAAGGTACATGTACAGTACGGTATTAGTGAATGCACTGTAACCAGTACTTGTGACGTGTTGTCAATCTAGAACTTAGTTAATGCCTGTTTGGTCTGGTTTGCCAGACAAGAAGAACCCTGTAGAGGGACAAAGGGGGCTTCCCCACCCCTTTGTTATTCTTACACCAACATCAGTGTGCTACAAGGGAAGATCCATGTATTTTTGAGAGGGGACGAAACACAAATTTTTTTTTTAACATTGAAGCCTTTATACGCTTATGGACTCACCTTAAGTGGACCCCCCCTGTACCTTCCCTTTGGACTCTCCTGATGGACCCCCCCCCCACTGTACCCTTCCTTTGCACCCACCCAGTGGGCCCCCCACTGTACCGTCCCTTTGGACTCACCGAGTAAACCCCCACTGTACCCTCCCTTTGGACTCACCCAGTGGACCCCCCACTGTACCCATCCTTTGAACTCCCCTACTGGACCCCCCACTGTACCGTCCCTTTGGACTCACTCAGCGGACCAGGGGGCGTCCTTACCTCCCGCGATTTCCATTACTTGGAGATCTTGGTTCTCCGGTGGGTTTTCCTCATGAAAATATTTGTGGTAGTTAAATTAATGATGGGACAGATTACTTTCCCTGTATCGTTTATCTTCATGCAAACCAGTACCCATACATTTTTGCATATCATTGTTTATATGTAATTCGAAAGTTGGGTGTTTTTTTGTTTCCAGATCCGCATGTTGGCTGACACACAAGGTGAATTCACAAAGGTGCGTTTTTATTTTTCTTTAGTCAAACCACTTAAAAAAGTTCTTTTGGATTCTGTTTTCGAAGGGTCTTTCTTCTTTTTATTCTATTCTTTGCTTCGTTGTAAAGTTCAAGAACAGGCTCAGGGTCAAAGGTCATATGGAAGGATTCGGAAAAGTTGATGGACCATCAACAGCAAATATGAGAAGGGGAGGGGAGGGTGTGATCGTCTCCCACCACTGTGGCCTGGGTTCTATTCCCAGACCTGGTGTCACATGTGGGTTGAGTGTGGTGTTGGTTCTTGTCCTTTGCTCAAAGAGTTTTTTGTCCGAGTTCTTAAGTTTTCCTTCCGTTGCAATTTGAAAAAAATTTATTAAATATAAACATCTTTTGTTTTCTCATCGAAAAAGTGTCTCTCTTTGATGAGAAAACAAAAGGTATTTATATTTCATGTCTGTTTTCAAATTATATTTATATAAATATGAAGTAAGAGTAATGAATGGTATGAGACAAATATTGACATTTCATATCTTAAAATGTTTGCCTTGCCTTAAAAAACTATAGACTATGAAAGGTGGTATTCAAAACGTTAATGCTTTTTCATACTGCTGAACACATTTCGCCAAACATGCGACTCTCTTTGCGTATTTAGTCACAAAAATTGTCGCAGCTTGGAGAGCTGATGTGCGATACAGAAAGCATCGTTCATGCCAACCGAAAAACGGCAAGAGAACTTCTGCGGAGTCTTTCAGTTCTGATGATTATGTCGCTTCTTTGTTGAAGCATTTCACTCTTCAATCTTGGCTAGCTGGTTACATCTTGACAGTCCCAGCTGTAAAACTTATCGTATATTCAACCGTGGTCTCTTTCCTTGGTCTCTCAGTATTTAGATCTGAGAACGGCAAGCGTATGCTACTGATTGATGGGAGATGTTATAAAGAGTAGCGGGCGTCCTGTGCTCTGTGTCGACGAGTTAATTGAAAGAACGATTTGCTAGATAAGATCCTGATCGCGCTGTGTTGTTTTTTATATTTAAACATGTCATGTGAAAAATTGCTGCGGTTCTTTCCTTTAATCTCCGAATATGAAGAACTTCGCTTAAGTTACATCGCTAACTGTGTTTTGAACATTTTTCTGAATTATACCGCGGTGATGTTGAACATTCTGACGATATATGCAATACGGAAAACTTCGCCATTGCCGAAGACAACAAAAACTTTGCTTGTGAGTCTTTCTGTCTCTGATGTTGGTGTTGGTTTGGTTGTTCAACCGTTTTACTCTTCACTATTGGTCAACTGGCTACAACAAGGCAGCATCAGCTGCTACACTTGCCGAGTGTTTCTTATCATTGGTTTTTTAATTTTTCAAGCTTCGTTCCTGGGTGTGATGGCTGTAACTGTGGACAGGTTCTTAGCTGTTTATCTTCATCTCAGATACCAGCAACTTGTGACGCACAAGCGTATTGTTGCCGTGGTGACCTCAATATGGGTGTTCAGTGCATTTGCTTCTTTTATAAGATTAAGTGGTGTGCGTTTTATTCAGCCCGTAATCCAGTACATCGGTATTCTTCTTGGTCTTGTCGTGATCACAGGAGTTTATATCAAGATTTATTTCGTCGTGAGACGACATAAAACTCAGATCCAGTCCTTGCAAGTACAGAGAGGACCGCGTGGCGAAATAACACAAATAGCCAGTCGTATAAAATCTGCAATCGCTATATTCTATGTGTATGTTGCTTTTCTAATTTGTTGTTTGCCGTACGTCATTTGCGTCTCCATTATTCAATTCAACGGTCCTTCCGTTACATTGAAGGGTTTTCATCTTTTCTCACTAACTCTAATTTTTCTGAATTCGTCTCTTAACCCTTTAATTTACTGCTGGAAGATGAGACATATTCGACATGCTATCGTGGGCATACTGCGCACCTTTTCTGGGAAAACATTTAATGTACGTTTATCGTACGATCGGTCTTCAAGTGTCGTTCATCTTGATACCTGAACCCTTCCGTTTGACGAACTGAACCCGCGTTTAGTTTGCCCGTTAAAAGGTGGTCAAACAAGCATAAAGCTAAACTGATCCATACGACTGTGCTAAAAGAATTTTGAAACTAGATTGTGAAGCATTATTTTAACAAACCGCGAGCAGGACTCTGAAATTGGCGAATCAGATTGCCGTGGAAAAGAATTTGAAATTAATTCTTGGAATTAAACTTTTTTTCAAAACAGATATTAAAAGAAATTAAAATTGTCTCAATTTAACTTTTGAACTTTATCTGAATTTCATCTTTTTGATTTGTGAAACTATATTTTAGGTTTTCTTTGAATACCTTAAAGAAAGCCGAACACAAATTTATTTCAGGGAGACATGCGAGGCACATTTGAATTAAGTCGTTGTCACCGTCTATGAAAAGTTGTATTTTTAGCCCTTAGACTTGTGACGTGTAAATGCGAATAATTTCAAAACCAGGGTGTACTGATCGGGAAACCAACATCTCTCCTTTGGATTATGAGAGTTGAGGTAATGATGAACTAGCGGATATGGCCTTGATTTAACACCAAATTCTGAGACCTGACAGAAAAAATAGGCTTAGTATTAGTCGGGAGTGGATAGCGCTGGTGAAAGGTTTAACTGTTTTTAAGATTATAGTACATCGCTATGTTTTGCGTGAATTTTTTTAATCGCCGGAAGATGGATGAATTGTGCACAGAAGAGGATAGTAAAGGTAGAAACGACATTCACGATTTATTTGGCAATGTAACCGTATTGATGGGTTCAAAACGACTGGTTTGAGTGTCTTTTTCACCATTATTTTAAGCATTTTAAGGCCAACTTTTCTTGAAAACAAGATTCTGGATATGAAAATAGCAACAGCAGGTGGCCTCATTCGTAGGTGTTTTGGCCTTTACCGGAATGGAAGTTATCAGTTCTTTGTTAGATTTTTTGTTTTGGTTTATTTTCATGTTCTTCCTTCGGAAGTGAGTAACTTTTACGTTAATGTAACTTCCAAGTTTTAAAAAGGTGAGTGTGATCTTAAACTGTTTGAAGAAATAAAACCTCGTGTAGAAACCCATTCTTGAAAGATTACTTTGACAGATAAATGACTTTTGATCTTTGAGCTTTCGTACATGCTACTTTTGCGGCATTTTCAAATTTAGTGTTGTGGTTTATTACGGAATACATAAAAAGTTTTCCGCGGCACAAGAATCAGAGCCAGCCTTGCCTCGCAATTTCAAGAATTAACTCGGTCTAACAATGAAATGACAATTTTTCTGGACCCCTTAAATCAACACTAAGTTGGTATAAACTGCGTTGAGCATTTTCATTCAGTTTCCGGACTGTTTCCGGTTCCTATTTATACAGGTAGTCTTCGTGAAGAGGCTTTGTGGGAGTAAGGTGCCAGATCTCTAGCTCCAAAGTTCAGCGCGCTAATAGCTAGGCTGGGACATTTTCCACTCTGAAGTTTAAATTTACCAATAAAGAAAGAATACTTACAAAACTACACATATCTCGTCTTATTCCCTTCATCCCTTCAATTACTGTAGGCTGTTGATATGGAGCTTGACGCGAGGCCATTTCTTGGAAATGTACGGTCAAAGAGATATGTGATGGTGATCGAAGATGGACTGGTGACAGCGCTCAACGTAGAGCCTGATGGTACTGGACTGAGTTGCAGTCTGGCTAACAGCATTCTGAGTGCATTGTAGGTATGTGATGTGATAAAATGAGTCTGGGTGTGGTAAAGCACGCGAGCTATCACAACGGCCAATCAGAACAATCAAGAGGAGCCAATGAGAAGTCGAAGTAAAAAACGAGTAGAGTGCAAATAGCGCGGGAAAACGCGGATGACCAAGTCGCGATTGGTTTTAGTTTTAAATCTGATTAGTTGAGAGTTAAGCGCAAACCCTCTACACCAATCACAGAATGTAACATAGGATTACTTTCAAAGTCCCACTATGTTGCTCAAGTGGACAAATAGGCTCGAATTTTTGCTTTTTCCAAGGGTTTGCACTTTTATCCGCCCCCAACTACTTTCCGAGGGAGGAGTGCGCGATCATTTTTCAAACAGTGGCTGGTAATTGCGTCTAGTTGACAAGAGAAGACATTTTGAGGTTTTATGTGGATTGCATTTGTTGATTTGATTTTTTTCTCTTTTCTTTTTAATATCTTTTCTATGTTTTTTGATAGTTTGTATTCCAAACTGCGATACGGAAGGAGTAGAATCAGGATTGGATCAATCGTGGGAACATGTCATCTATTCGCTTCTTCATTGTTTACAAAAAATGGAGCATGGCTTAAAACAGTGGACTTAAATGTGAGATGTTAATAATAAGTCAAGATAAGAATAATCTTCATAATTTAATGTATTGGCAGTTTAGCAGGACGTAATGGTGAGTTTATGAAAAGTTGTGTACTACAGAAGTGAATAAAGGACATGGTTCCATTGATTTACATTGGGCTTCCATTCCAATCATTTTCTGTAGCTCGTCATTTTGAGGGTCATTCCTCTTGGTTTTTCCGTACGTTAACATTCCGATGTCACAATGGTTCAAATAATACCCAGAGTTCAACACTGCCCTGTGTTCTGTCTGTGCTTCCCAACGTCGAGCCAAATATTTTCTTGTCCGGCCCTCCCTCTAGGTCAATAAGTACTTATCATTTACCCTAATCTACCAATTTACAATTTTTCCTCTATGTCTATTTGCTCATCCTTATTCACTAGTTTTAACCTTTCATAAGTAATAACGTGTCTCTATCTCGCTGCCAGTTGACGCTACCGAAATTATTTTTAAAACTAATTACTCAAGAGACACATATCACCAAAATCCATTTTAATTACAAAAAATTCAGTCTGGTCTGGGCTGTTTGTGATTTTCACGTCCATGTTATTAACGCAGGAAAATTCATAGAGAATTCATGACAGCTGTGATAAACTTGACTATTGCAAAGGGAAATTCCACTGCTCCGTCACATGTTTTCCTCCACGTTTACGTGTCGACTGGTTGAACTTTGACGGTGTTTTTTTTCGTGGTTACCATTTAAATGTTAAAATCTTTACACAAAGGCTCCATGAAGCATAACGCTTCTCTCCCTTCGTAGAGAAAGGAAAATTTAAATAGTGCGAAATTTCGTAGAACAGGGATTCAGCTCGTACGAGACATGGATTCAATGAAACGAAATAAAAATAGTTGCCTTCTTTCTTTTTCTCGCTAAATTTAAATCTTTACTATGATTATACGATTGCAGAAGTACGTTGTTATTATAAATACACACTAAGTATAAAGCAGATATGGAAGTGTCTGAGATGAATTATCAAACTCCAGCACTCATTCGCAATGGGTTTTTCTTAGTGCTTGATTTAGTTCCTCGACCTCTATGTTTCGTTGCGGTTATCTGGTTCTGATTGGTCACGAGGCAATAAGTGGTAAAACCAGTTTTAAAAGACATGTTCTGCTGGTGTGAATTGGGTAGTAGTCATAGGGCCACGAGAAAATCAGTGTTTTTACCACCATAAAATGTAACCCTCAGTAAATAAAGCCTCTACTTACTCACGATTTATACGATATGGTTGCGTTTGATAGTTGTGCTTTTTGCGTCACAATGAGCTGTGGTAAACCTAAGAGTGACCAGCATCTAATTTCTCCATACAATGCTGAATCATCTATTGGGCTCAGAAGAATAAAGAAAGTGATCACCAACCTAAGAGACTTTGATTATTAAATGAATCTTCCTTGTCGGTAGAAAATGAAATGTGTTAAAAACAGTATGGAGAACATTGATACTGATGTCAGGGTGTAAAGCACTAAAATGGTGATTTACGGATTATTGAGATCATATTTCCTTCTCAGTTCGTCTGTCTTGTTGGAGGGGGACCCGGGTTTCAGTCGGATACCCTTAGGGTGTTTCTTCTTGGACGGTTCCGTGGGTTCCAGGGGCTCGTATCCGGCTGCCCGCATACAGCAACATATCAACCAAATTATGAGATAAACAATGATCGGGATGAGAATTATGGCTAATATCGGAAGGAGAACCCACAACAGATCATTTGCCATCGGGCATTTTTGTAATGCCAATCTTCCTTGGGACAATCGTCTGGTTCGAAATTAACCGACAGGAACCGTGCGCATTTTTCCGTGGAGGAGCACCAGTAACACGAGGCGTCTTGATGAAGACACTTTTTACATGATCGCTTCCGTTCGTGGCAGGGAATTACTCCAACTGAAAAGGAAAAAAATATAAAATTTGCTTACTCCTCTTCCCTTAGAGCCTTTAAATTCCAAGATCTGATTGTTAATTCTCCCCACTAGCTTCTACGTATTTCCTTGTAAAACGGTCACAAGAATTTTGTGTTAGATCAAGATAATGACTTCTACCTGATAAATTTGAGTATTCTCATTACCTGTATACTAGATAATGTATGGATATTTTAGGGAGAAGTTACAGGTCAATCTCTTACGGGAGTTCTTGGGTTAAAGATCTTCATATCTAATATGCAGCCTTTTTCCTTTTTTTCTTCCTTTTCGCATTTTCTTTCTGACTTGATCTCTGTGAATTTTTTTTTATTTTTAATTTTTGTCCTGCGGTTTTGTAACTTTTGTATGTGAGTTTTATGTTTTTGTGGTTTTTTTTTTGTCTTTACACAAATCGCACCTAGCTTTGTTCTTCTACTCCCTTCCTTTTGAAATAAGCACACTTCATGTTTATTTTGGGCTTGTTCCAATGGAACAGCGACATCTAATGATTCCTCTTTCTCTCTTTCCCAAGCCCTTCTCGTCCATCTATATTTCTTGCCGCCATCGATGTGATTTCAATAGAAGCTTTTCATGCAGTAGCGAGATTCTGTAAAACTAAGTTTTTATTTGTTTTATTGCGACTGAATCTTCGAAAGAAGAAAAAATATTAACCCATATGTATTGTCCTGTGTAGTAAAATAAAATTAGATTGAATTTATTAGAATCTTGTCTCTCTTTTTAGTTTTGTTCAGCAGTGCAATTATGAACTTTTTCTAGAAAGGCGAGGAATGCCATTTCCGAAAACAAGAGAATTAAACAGAGGCAGAAACAAAAGGCTTTTTATCATGAACATTCCTTCATAAATACATCGTTTGTTCTTTTGTTATCACAAGTTGTATGCTTTATATTCGTGGAATTCTTCCCCTGTTTGTAATTATGAAAAACAGAAAAACATTCACAGCGCTGTCTGGGCCCGTCTCCAAAATTAGGCTAACTACTGTTTCTCCTAATAGTTAATTGATCAAGTCAAAAGTGCATTCAGCAAATCATGTTTTTCATTAAGACCAGTTTCCCAAGGGGAGATTATGAAAAGGAAATTAGATATTTTGATCTGTCCTGGAGCTCAGAGGAGCAAAGATCAATGCTCTCGATACTGCGAAATGAATAAACGGGGTATGTTTCTAAGAAACTGTTGTGCTGCGTCGGTAGGGGTATAACAAGATGAATCTGTTTTAATGAACTGAGTTTATAATGTAAATTGGCCGCCGTAATGAGTTTCGGAAGCTGACGGTTTCAAGTACTCTTAAGTACTTAAAAGGCCTTGAATGGTCCGGGAATACCCGCATAGAACATCGATCTTCAAATAGGTAATCTTCTTACGAGAGAAATGTTCGAAAAGTACAGCAATTTTCTCACGGCTGATACTCGTTCTATGAAAAATGTGTTCAAAAGAGCATGCTAATTTTTCAAACAGTGCATTTAACGGACGGTACAAAGTACATTCCAATTACATAAATAATTAGTTTCCCAAGGGGAATATTTGAAAAAAATGTTTAAGGTAAATTATCTTGCGAAGAGCTTGAAGACCAAAGATTTAGTGTTTTAATTTTGGATGCATGGAATCAGTTTGAGGAGGCTGAAGGTCTCCAGTGAAGAGATTATACTCACGAAGAGCAATTCTTCAAGCAGTAGGCGACAATTAAAAGCACTACTTGAGTGTTATTTTGAGAGATAATGGTAAAACTTTTAGAATATTTGCATGTGAATAACAAATTTCCTTAAGTCAGAATTTGGTTTTCTGTCGAATTTTGATAAAATCATACAGTTGTAAGTTCATCAGAGTAAACGGGTTTCCGTTAGGTTTTCTGTTTTGGTTGGTAGTTTTTCTCGAAACTTGCCACATCTGATTAAAATGTTTTTACGAACTTGAAGAGTAATTAATCCTCTGGCGTAAGGAATATTTATTAATTTAAATACCACCTACAAGGGTTTTGTTTTCTTAAAAGCAAGTTATAAGCCTTGCTACCCTTCTTGTTTAGTATTTTCAAGTTATGGCGATGTCTAGAAATGTCCAGACTATGATTTGTCACAGATGCTGTAAAAACGCGTTGATTTCTATCGAAGCAGTGGTCGAATGTGTGGACAAGTTTTACACGAGGATTCTAATTATGCAAGTTTCATTGCCTCAAGCTCATCTCCATAGTTTCTTGGTTGGGAAAATTCTGTAAAACACCTAAATTGCATGTCAAGTTCTTTCTTTGCCGAAAAACATCCCTTGGTATTCAAAGTGCCCACAACACCAAGGCGTTAGAAACTTTGCTATGCGCAGATCTTTCCTTTTGGTTTGACGACACAAAGCGCTTTCCTTGTTTTTGCATAATTGTCACGTATGTAGCATCAGAGACCTTTCGTGCATAAATGGAGAATAGAAATGTCGCGGCAACTGTACAATTTAAGCTAGCTTCTTTAAGAAACGTTTACCTTTCCTAGAAAATTCTTCACTCTGTTTTTCTAAGCTTAAAAGGCCATCTTACCGAATGAAATACTCCTTCGCCTATGCTATAAAAAAAGGCGAGGAATTCCTTTGGAAGTCTCTCAAGCATGTAACACGAAAGTTATCTACCTACTAACAGGGCGATACCTCATATTCAAACTTACTTGGATAAATACATTGGCCTTTGTACGCTGTTTTCTCTTCGGGGCAAGACTGCTCTGTTGTTGAAGAATTGTAGTACGCTTGGCAAGTTTGTTTAGATTGGCACCAGACACAAAACTCTCTCGCAGTACAGTTCTCACAACCTCCTTGGCTGCCACAGAACGCGGTGACGTTCATTGTTACCACACTGCTATTCCCGGCTGCCGAGTCATCTGCCATAACATTGTTTACGGCACTGAGTTCATCCAAAGATTGATCATAGTATGCCATTACAGACCCTCTTTTTCTGTTATCAGCTGTTTGAGCACTGCATTCTGTCCGTCTGTATTCGCGCGGGCAAGTTTTGCTTCCTTGCGACACACACTGGCTTGTAAGTGATTCATCACTGCACCACTCACAATTTCCTTCTTTAGACAGACATTCCTGGCAGCTTGGTTGACTTTGAGAGCAACCTTGATCGTCTAATGCGGAATCGTAGATGTTGTGTTTACGCCAAGGAAGCTCACTGCAATGGTACACTTCAACCACCACAAACAGCAATATGATTTTTATCCCTTTCATTCTGTCAATATTCTTGGCGGGAAGAGACACAAGATGTACTCCTTCCCGTAATATAGTTCTTTCCTCGGATGAATTTTAGCGTAAACAAGCCGTTCTCTTCATGTTTTCTCACGCCGTCTTAGAAATGTTGGCTGCCCACTCTAAACAACGCTCCAATACTATTAAACAAATGCAAAAGGCGCACTTTCTACCGCATTAATTATGGTTGAATGATTCAGTGCTTATATTTGCATAAGTGAGTGTTAACCGAGAGGCGCTCTTTTGTTTTTGAGACGCATGAGGGATTTCGACTCAAAACTGACCGCGGGATGTCAGCAGAAGAACTTTCTTCGCACTTTGGATACATAGGAATATAACAACAGTAGTTATCTGAATTGTTTCCTCTAGATATACAGGTTTGATTTCATGCCCCAATCGAAAATTCACCGTTTACAGAATCACTGTTTTTTCGCTGCATGATTTAGGCGCAAAGATTAAGACAGCAGATTTGTATGGTAATTTATCATAACGATACATTTATCTTTGCCTTTTGAAAAGGCGCTTAATAAAAATAAAGAACGTCTTGAATTGAATAGTGTAAAAGAGTTATTAATTGAACCTTATGTTCCAAAAGTTAGCGTAAAAGTCTACTTACCCATTAACTTTTTTGTTGGATTATTTATTGAATATCATTCCTTTCAACTGAGTGAAACAGTTTTATACATACAAATTCAGACCCTTTAGATCACGGCCTAAGATATCACAGCTTTATCTTCTAGACACTGTTTGATAGACAACCTCTAAAACAATCGTTAGATATGATAGGTATAAATTATTTAGCATGAATGAAAAGAAAATTGCCAGTCATATTAAGTCGAATGGTTGGAGTAAGAAAGTGACTTTTTGAGAAATGAATATGTGTATCACGGCAGTGTATGGAACTGAAAATTCTCTTATTTCCGCCGGAAGGAGTCATGTGTTTACAACGCAGAATATAGTTTGGCACATATCCACAATGATGATGATGAATACTATTGAAATCTTCCAGAGAAAAGTTGATATTCTCTTTGCTAGCCGCCATATTGTACACACTATTTTAGTTCAAGATTGGTCGTCATACATTGCGAATGTATCTCATCAAGGCTATTAATGCCTCTTAAAATCATTGGATGATTTAGCATAAAAATAGCGCAAATATATGGGCGAGTTTTGATCACGGTAACGGGGCGAACGAAAATTTCAGCAATGAGCACAATGTCCGCTTGTATTAGATTTCAAACCATTGAATATAGGATTTCAGTATTATTACCATATTATCAATTTTTTCAGTTTTCGGCTTTATCAAAGCTTCAGCACTCTTGAAAGAAGAAAACAATATAAACGTGCTTCGTGACAAACAAAAAAAAATCAATTTTTAAATCAAAATTTTTTCTCACCCAGAAATTGAGGCCTAATTATAAAGGACTTCACGATCACGACTTTCATTTTTCTGCGTAGGGACCAATTTGTTGCTTTGCTCTCCATCTCATTTTTTCCCATCTTACAATGTAATCTATCGTCGCAAATTTTGTACGCCCCAATATGCCAAAATGACGTTACCAGTGGAATAATAACAGCCTGTTTCGGGCAACGATACGGCTCAGTTTCTCTCTGCAGTCTTTTTTAGGTTTCTAGTTTAGGCGTTGACATAGTTAGGCTGGTTAGCCTAATTACTGAGTCTCAATTTCTACGGAATGAAAAATGAATCGCCAGATATTGCTCTAATTACGTTGGCTATCGGACTGAAACTTAGAAGCCCTCTTATGTACGTAAAAAACCTAGAAATGAATAATTCGTTAAAATGGGCTCTTTTCATCATAGTGAGCAGTCAGATAACAAGCGATGCAATGTGGAAGTAAGGTGAGGTATTTTTATTGAGAATTTGACCGTACTTTTTATTCCTAACAGCGGTCGTAAATATTCCCATATAAACTCTTGTAATTTCGCAATGACCCTTATTTCGCAAGATGATGATCTCGCAGCTGGAGCTTGGGCCGCCTGTGCCCTGACGAGGTCAACAACGTTGTATAGGAAATAATTTTTTTAAAATTGATGTGGGTGCAAATGGAGTTTACCCCGACTCAAAGCTCACAGTTCCAGCGGCAATAACGTTTCTTACAATAATTATGTTCATAATCAGTGGGTATAAAATTTCCTAAAGAAACGAGAATCTTTCGACCGAGACTAGATCTCAGAGATTATACAGAAAAAAGAGAATTTGAATGGTGTGAGAGTCATATGCTGATTAATCAGATTTGGGCCTGGAACCTTCTTTGAGTACAGTCAGTATAGCATGGGATATAACTGAAACTCGAACATTGGTTGGCTCGAGGTCTTATTTCGATAGAGAGGTCTCGTGCGATCTGTAAAGCTTTCCAGTTATACTCTAAAACTCGCAGTTTATGCCTTTCATATATTTTATGCTCTCAAGAACATAATCGTTCATTCTTCGAGACATCCTTTTTTTCCCTAGGTCTCGGCAGATTTCATCGATTTTGTCCAAGAATAGGTTAATATCTGATCACTAAAATACCTTTTTATCGGAACTTTGATGGTCCATTTCAGGGCATCTGTTATCCATATGATAAAGCTAAGTCGCATAATTCATGACCCGACAAGAGAAGCGAGCGCGATTCCATTGACGGGTTTCTTTTGAGGGGTAGGGAGCGGCTCTATATTGGTTACTTTTGACACAAATCTTGATTAATTAGTCAATAATTCCGGAAATGGAGTCTTGACGAGTCATTTCAGCAGTGATGATTGCTTGGATAACTAGAATGAAATGTATGGCGGAAGGTTGTTTCGACGTCCAGAAAAACGATTTTGGTGAGAGATCTTCGCTTTTCTGCCGCTGTTTTATCAGAAATGGGTGTAAGTAAAATAGATACGAAGGTAGCGCAAGGTTTTGTTTGAACGACTGTGAAATATATAGTAAAATCTAGCGATTAACTTTTCTCCAAGCGCAAGGGTTGCAGTGAAATTTAAATCGCGTAATGATCTCAAACTTCAGAAATACTTGACACAAATCGCCAAGAAATAACTCAATAAGGCATCCCCAGTTTCATTTACGTGTGTTAAGTCTACTTCCACCTTTTTTCTTGACTTGGTAATGCAAAAAATAAATTAATAAATAAAACGCCATCACAGCTACCTCGACGCAGCAGGAGATTTAAATGGTGTGCTTGAACATAAAATATTATCGTGATACATTAAGTGATTTAACACGTAATTTGCCCCTTTGTTGTGATTAATGAGAACGAATCAGCGTTGATAATCGGCTCAAAACTGAACCTTTTCTTATGCGACGAAAAATAGGTACAGATGGGTTGCTTAAGGAGCGATGCACAACTGAATATATGTTCACAGTTTCTGCTGGAGTTCCCGCGATCTTGTTTTTCCCAAGAGTTCGAGGAGAAAAGAGGCAGCTCAAAAACCTTTGGATCTTTCTCGACAAATAATCACTTGACCTTGCACTGGGATTTCCTTTTGTTTTCGGCGCTTATTTAATACGTTAACAAGTATGAAAACAGGCTTTGCATACACAAATCCAACTTAAAAGACTTACTTGAGTTATTTCCTTGCGATTTATGTCGAGACTATTACGCGATGACGATTTCACAATAGACCTCACGCAGGGAGAGAAGTTAATCGGTATATTTTATGACATGTTTCGTGGAAATACTAACAAAAACTTACTCTTCCCTCGTATCAAAATTATCTTAATCCATTTATGATAAAACTGCGACGAAAAATCGTTGATCTCTCGCCAAAATCCTTCTTTCAGACGTCGGTAAACCTAACGCCAGCTTATCCATTTCCCTCTAACAACTTGCAATGTTTGCCTTATGGCGATCCCAGAAATCTTTGCGTAAATACAAGGATACGATCATTGGCAACCCATTTATTACCGTACTACAGTAAGCAATTGGCCCTTTTTTCCTAATTACAGTAAAATTCAAATTAGGTTTTAACATTTTTACCCTCGTAGACTAGTCAACAGACTGCGTATCGGGGTAAAAATAACACTGCAGCTTATCCAGGCTAAGGTGTGTAAAGTAACCATGACCACAGCAGTACTATCTTTCAAAGCAGCGAGGTTTTCCAGTCTTTTGACGACCCATGGATCAAAGAACCTTTGCTACAGACGTCGCTCTTAAACGGATTGAAATTTGGCAGCGTGATAGAGTGACTTACCGGTAGCAGTCATGGGTCCCTAATCTATCCGAGAAATTCCATGGCACACGCAAACGTTTTCAAACTCTTGCTATAATACATTAGATATAGTGAACGAACTATTAAAGACTACATCCTTTCTAATTCAATTTGTAGTGAATTTCATTGGCTAAGAGCAGTCGCTCCTTTTCGGCGAAGTCTGTCGCGTGGGTCCAAAAAAAAAAATATTCTTGTTAGCGCGCTGCGGGAGTGCGTCTCACTCCTAGAGTTCCGCAATTTTTCTCTTCACTTTTTTTTAAATTTTTGACTTGAACTACGGACTTCGCTGAAAAGCAGTGACTGCTCATGGTCTATGGATTCATGCAATTTTTCACGTTGTAAAAAAGGTACGCAGTTAGGCGAGATGATTTAGTTTGTTACATCCCACAACATGTGGAATACTTGGCTTATGTATGTTTTCTTCTCCTTTTCATTCTTTCCTCTCTAACCTGATTAAGTAAACGGCACAATCCATATTTTCGTAAAGGAATACTAAAGCACGACATGACTGAAAATGAGAACAAAAATAATAAATCAGTTAAGGTACGACCGCCTTTCGATCATCTCCAAACAGGTGCCAATCATCCTATTATGTCATTCAGCTTTCCCCGTCAAATTAACGCCGCTAGCCCCCTGCCTAACACGAACTAGAAGAGTGCCGCAATAATTAATTAACTCAGGCTACAATTTGAGACGACGCATTATACAACTTAAGGAAAATCGTGTTTGTAAGGTAAGGGCACTTGGCACTTGCCCATCAGGATCTGGAAGAATGCCTCAATAATTATTCAACCCGAGCCATCCTTCCAAAGGACACACTAAATCACTAGAGGAAATTCGTGTTTGAAAGGTAAGAGCACCAAGATTTTTCAAATTGAAAGACCACAATATTTCACTTAGTCGATCGATCTCTTTGTCAAAGGATATCAATCTCTTTTAAGAGAGTCTCGATGGGATG